TAAGCAATTATTAAAAAATGATACAGTAAAGTGACATGACAATCACCACAGTGGTACCTGGGGAGGTGAAGAACAAGAATCTTGTAGAGTTTGCGGATAACAATTTGATTTCCCTTTTTTATGATTTTTTAAAATGTGTCCGTATAGCAAGGTAAATAGGATTACTCATGAATTTTGCATGCAATTATTAAAAAATGATACAGTAAAGCAACATCAAATTTACCACAGTGGTACTTGGGGAGATGTAGAACAAGAATTTGCAGAAAACTATTTTTTTAAATTAATTTTTAATATTCAATTCCAATCAAGTGTCTCAGGCCAAAACATGCATAAAACATTTTACAAAAACATTTGACAAACTCATTGCAAATGTTTTATTGAAAGTTTAATACATTACATACAATTAAACAATAAAATACCATTACATAAGAAGTGCCTGTGTAATGTGTTTTTAATTAGCCTATTATTATCTAGAGGGGAGGACAGTTGCTCGACCTCTCCAGAATCTATACAGGTGAGAACTTGGAAGAAGAGAATTATTTTAAGGCAGTGTTTTGTTTTTTTTAACTGGAACTACTTGCCAATGTTTTAAGGAATTAAACATTAATATATATTTTCATTTTATGTTCAAATTGTTAAATAAAATTTGTTGTATAGGTAAAGGCAGTGTGTTCCAATAGGTTTTAAAGACACTTCTTTTGTCCAACTGTTAAGAATGAGGATAAAAGTTATCATTTAAGTGTAGTGTAACTGAAATATTGTGCATAAAATCTTTATTTAATAAAAATAAAGTATAGATTTCCACAGTGGTCTCAAAGTCCCAAGTCCTGTAGTTATTTTTGAATTAGGGTTAGAGTTAGTGTTTTTGAGTCTGATATCACAAAAAAATAGGTCCCTGTAAGCCGTCTTGCTTCCTGTAAACTATCATGGCATGTTCCTAAAATTGCCATTAGGGTGCTCTAAAACACGCCAATTAGTATTCTATATAGAATTTATGTGAACATGAATGTACTTTGTACATTATGTACATAATATGTTTGGCCGTTGAGGGTCACATCACCTGACAGCTGACAGCTCAAGTGATAGGCCATGTTAGGGGAATTATATTATCTTGCTGTATGAGTGTCATTTTCTTTACGTTTTCTGACTAAAAGCAACCAAAAAGCCATTGTAAAGTGGTTAAGCAAATAATAATAATAATAATCGGCAGGGATCCCAGACCAATACAGTTAGTGTGCCTCCTCTATTTTAAAACCCACGAGCCACCACTGTTCGCTGTCATAGTTTGACCAAACTCCCCATCACATTCATTCCCTTTAAATAGACTCCTAATTATGTATTTACGCATAGGCATTCTAGGCACATGCCTATGCTCGCTCGTCCAGTGGGGGCCCAAACACAATGAAGAGATATATAGCCTAATATTTTGTTATACTATGGGCTATCTACAACAATAAAAGCAAATAAATAACAATAGGGTAAAAAAAGACAAATTATTTCCATGTCTTCCACCTTTATGCACGGAATTCATGCTTTCTCCGGTTCTCTCTCACAGACGCACACACACTCGCGCACACACGCGGACAGAAACTTGTCGTCAACACCGCCCCGCGAATTTAATAAAATAATTTTGCAGCTGAAAAGCTACATGATATTTCTCAGTAGGGAGGTTCTTGAAGCAGTTTAACTTAAAGATTCACTATTAGTAGACGCTGTTGCTGAACACTTCTGAGAGACGCACAGACGCAGGTATTCACATGCGCTTAATATCTCTCTCTCTCATAACTGCATTAGCCTGCATATCAATGGCTCAAGCCTTTGTTATTAGCTCTAAAATGACGTTTTGCGTTCACCCAGAGAGGAGCTTACAAGGCCCTCCCCCACCTCGGTGCCTCAGACCACATCACTGTCATGCTAATGCCTGCATACAGACCGCTCGTTAAAGTCGCCAAACCAGTTCACAAACAGATACAAGTGTGGCCGGAAGGGTCGTCAGAGGCTCTTCAAGACTGTTTTAACACCACTGACTGGAATATGTTTAAGCAGGCTGTCACATACAATAACACCACAGACCTCCAAGAGTACTCAGAGACTGTCAATGCCAACATCACCAAGTGTATTGATGATGTAACAGTCTCAAAGACCATCACTGTCCGGGCCAACCAGAAGCCGTGGATGACAGGGGAGGTCTACAGACTCCTGAAGGCTCAGAACGCTGCCTTCAGAGCTGGAGATGAGGTGGGCCTGAAGACAGCTAGGGCCAACCTATCCCGCGGCATCAGAGAGGCTAAAAGACAGTACTCCAGGAGGATAGCCCATCGTTTCAGCGACAGCAGAGACACTCGGAGCCTGTGGCAGGGGATACAGACCATTACGTACTACAAGCCCCCACCGCGGACCTGTGACAGCAACATCTCCCTGTGAATAAGCTCTTTGCACTACAATCATTATATCTGCACTGTTTGTTAAAAATACAAACTAAAAGTACTAAAAAAAAAAAAAAGTACTTTATAATTTTCATAATTTGCAATAAATGTATATAGCGGCAATATAAATAAATTCATTGATGACTGTTTGCAATTCAATTCACATTTGTGTAGCACTTTTCATGATACACTGTTGCGAAGCAGCTTCACAGAAAATGAACATTTGTACATTACATTTAGTAGTTTACAGCACTTTTAATAAACAAGTTGAACAAGTCAATCTGCAATACCAAACAGGAACACAGGGGGATGCCAAAAGACCACTAAATGAGCTACCTTGACCTGACTGATCCAGATTTACTAAACCACGGACTACTGCGTAAATGTAAAACACCTTCAGACAGCATCCAGTATAAAACACTCATGCTTTAAGACAAATTGCTTGCCGATTTTTTTTTTTTTTTTTACTGACATCTGTACATGAGTACTATTATCTCTGCCATCTCTGATGAAATCGGCAATGTTTTCTCTGCATTAGCGCGGTTTTGAACTTACAGTTTCAATGTGTTTGCCTGTTTTGAACTTACTGTTTGAATGCATTTGCTTACTGGATCCTTAGACTTTCCAGGAGTTTGCCAGTTGATCTGATTGCAAAAAAAAACTGCTTCTTATTTTCATGATGTATTGTTGATACGTGCGAAACAGATACATTTAGACTACTACTGTTATGCCATGTAAATACTTATTTACATTAGTTGGCATATGCGCCAATGTATGTTTCTGCCAGTGGATGCCCACACTCTAGGTTGCGTTTATTAATCTCGGGAGAGAATTTATTTTTTTATTTTTTTATTTTTTGGAGCGCACGCATATGTCTGATCGATAGAAAGCGTTTCTGTGAGAGTAAATGAATGGGAATCCACCTGCAAGCAGAGAGATTTGCGCTCGCGCATTTGATGAGCTCTCGCATAGGCAATATGCGCTCAGGACATTCGTCATTAAAATAACTCCATAGAAACTGCCTCAAACGAACTATTAAAACGACAAGAAAGTCATGTCTGAAAGATGCAATAAATTTTTTTAATTAAATGGAGAATATTGTGTTTTTCCATTTCCGTCGGCGGGGCTCTAGCACTGAGGTCCGCACTTATTCCTTTGAGCCGTCCACGCAGTCGTCATCAACGGAAAAACCCCACACCCCTAATCTTAACCTTTGCGTATCATATGCACACCAAAGACAATTTATGCGTATAAATAGAATGCCAAATAGAAACAAACGTGGTATTGATACACACTTTCATAATTTACGATATAAAGCTGCATAGATTACAATCTCTCACGGGCCACATAAAATGTGGCGGGCCTTGAGTTTGACACGTGACTTAAGGTATAATTTACAAATGACATAGCGTTAAGAAGGTTTTGGGGAACGCAGCCCAGGTCTCAGGGAGAGGAACTTACACAAAGTACTGATGCCAGAAAGCAGTTATGCGAAAAAAAGCCAAATGATACCAAAAACACCAACTCTTCAAATCAAGCAATTTTCTTTTTATTTGAGGGAAGGGAGAGAGAGAGAGAGAGCGAGAGAGAGCGAGAGAGATCTAAACCGTTTGAGCAAACAGGGAAAACATGCCATATGAATAAAGCACTGAACTGGGGAAAAAAAAAAATAATAAAAAAATAAAAAAAGGTAGGTGTTATGCAAAAGTCCCAGGACTGTTTCAGTGACCACATCCCCGACCAGTTCCTTGACCACATCCCTGACCTTGATCGCTTCACTGACCGTCACCGCTTCCCTGACCGCTTCCCTCACCACTTCCCTCACCCTGACCGCTTCCCTCACCGCTTCCCTGACCCTGACCGCTTCCCTCACCGCTTCCCTCACCCTGACCGCTTCCCTCACCGCTTCCCTGGCCGTCAACGCTTCCCTGACCGCTTCCCTCACCATGACCGCTTCCCTCACTGCTTCCCTGACCGCCGTCACCGCTTCCCTGACCATGACCGCTTCCCTGGCCGCTTCCCTGGCCGCTTCCCTGGCCGCTTCCCTGGCCGCTTCCCTGGCCGCTTCCCTGGCCGCTTCCCTGGCCGCTTCCCTGGCCGCTTCCCTGGCCGCTTCCCTGGCCGCTTCCCTGGCCGCTTCCCTGGCCGCTTCCCTGGCCGCTTCCCTGGCCGCTTCCCTCACCGCTTCCCTGACCATGACCGCTTCCCTGTCCCTGACCGCTTCCCTGACCGCCGTCACCGCTTCCCTGACCATGACTGCTTCCCTGGCCGCTTCCCTGGCCCTGACCGCTTCCCTGGCCGCTTTCCTGGCCCTGACCGCTTCCTTGGCCATGACTGCTTCCCTGGCCGCTTCCCTCACCGCT